CCAAACAAAATTGACAACACTAAATTTAATATAGAATTTCAAGTAGTTATCTCCCTGTTTTTTAGTAAAACATCATCAAACAGAGCAGGAACAGCTCTGGATATGGCAAGAGACAGTGGAGTGATGATTAAGCAGTCTGTCAAACTTGACTTCACCAGCTCTGGGCATTACTGTGCAAACATTGTGGACAATGAGAATAAATGTCCAACTTACTCTTACCATATATTAGACCAAGCAGACAAAATTAACAGCAGTGAAAAGGTGAAAATGTGTAAGAGATAAATAGTTTGGGCATGCCTCTGCTGACAAACTGCAAATACTTTTAAGTAGTTCTGGAAGCAAAGACAATGAATTTATGCCACTTCAACTGGCATATACTATTTTTCAAAAGTGGCAAGCCATATACCACTTTTGGCTCTCACTATTACTCCCATATTAGGTGCCATCAAATTAAGCAAACTATAACTCAAATAGGTTTCTTCACAGATACTGAGGGGAAAACATCGAGACCATGGCTCTACCTCCCCCACTATTCTTCTCTGATGGGTTTTTCTTCAGCTCCAGTACAGTTTCACATAAGAGATTCATCATTTATTTGTCCAGCGGTAGGAATCACATCCACGCTTCACTCTTACTCTGTCTAAACGAAATAATTCATTTTCCTATTACTGCGATAAGCGTGTGAAATGAGCTATATAATCAATAGCATAGGTCTGTAAACAGCAGCCACACTCCAGGGAAAATGTGTTTTCCTTAGTAAACAATACACCGCCTGCATGTGGTAAGAATGCTCCTCTAAAATTGTTTATGAGAGCAATTTGCAGGAAATAAAGACACGAGCTGGCCAAAATGAGAACATTCTTCACCACAACCAAGGGATGATATCCAGCTAAAGCAGATTAGTTCACTTACTGTTAAATGTTTACAATAAACAATGAGTGTGTAGTGGACATATAAAGCTTTAATGACACTGTTTCTGTACTTCTGGTAGTGAAATACCACAAGGTCTGAGTAATTTTATGAATTACTGCTTACAGATACAGTATCCCTGCACCCAAATAGACCAAACATTTGTCAGACTACCAAAAGCCAGAAAAGAAATACATTAGAAAGGGACGCCTGTTAATTATGTTTTTTTCTGGAAATGAATTGAATATAAATAATAAATTACATGTACATAAATATTCATTGGTCTATAACTTATTGTTGTACCTTTGCAACCAATTCATATAACGCCATCTGCCAATCAGTCCAAGAGGTCTGTCAGCAACAGACCAATCAGTGATCCCAAAGCCGAACGGCTTTCCCCTGCAGGAGCACACTCAGACTATAATACGGCAATATAATAATACGGTAAGACGGCATAGGGGACATTAGAATTTAGTTTAAATGACATTAAATGAAAGATTAAATGCTGTCAGTGGAGATTAAGCAAATCAGAGACACATTAGCCGAAGTATTTAGAGGCTGAAACAGTGGAATTTATTTCCAAAACTATAAGGGAGTCTTGGACATTGTAAAAGATGAATAAAAAGCCTGCTGTTGACGGCATGACCAGATCTACACCACACTTTTTAACAGAAGTTATTGTTTATTCATCTGGACGAAGGTAACCAACAGCTCATCCATGTTTAGCTTGGAAAACGCTTTTGCTGGCTAATTAACTACGAATGGGTTTAGTAATAAAAGTATATACAAGGCCATGTGATTTATAGGCATGCTTTAATTTCCACCCTATTTTTGTTTACAGACTATATTCACTCCCCCAATTTAAAAAAAAGGCGTCGGACACAGCTACACTCACAGCCAACATGACTGTGTCCATTATTATTCTCCCTCTATGTGTGTAGACGTTGGGCTTTAACATTGATTTGTCTGTTGCTGCCTTGAAATAACTTCACTTACTTGTTGTTGGGGAAAAAAGGACCTGCTATCTTTGGCGTCCTGTTTGCTGATCAGGCAAAATGCCTCATTAAATGCCTCAGGTAATGTTGCTCTTTATTGTGAAGCTGTTAAAATTATGCTGATTTTGTCGGAGCATTGTTTTCCCTGGCTTCTGTTTCCGCAAAGGCGGAGCGTTCTTGCAGTGGGCGTCATGTCATTTACAGACCGGTTGGCACATTTAATGCATCTTTGGGTACTTTTGCTAATTCTTCGACACAAAATCTATCAAGCTCCAGCAGGTTAGATGCAAAACATCAGCTTGCAGCCATTTCTTAAATCTTTCCAGAAGTATTCACATTTTAGTTTGTATTCTTTTTGGGACACTAAAATTCATTCACACAGTTGGCCTTGAAATCATTAACTCCACGTCTGGATGCTTTTCAGCCCTGTCCTGGTTGAAGATGAATCCTGAAGCCTGTCCACCTAGGATGTGTTTGTAGATTAATAAATCCATTCTTCCCTCAATCCTGACAGATCTCCAGTCCCTGCTGCTGAAAAAACTCCATTATAGCATGATGTTCCCGCCACCGTGCTTCACAGTAGGCATGGTGTTCACCATGTAACAAGCAATGTCTGGTTTCCACTGAGCATGATGCCTTTTTTTTCATGTCACACATTCAATTTGGCCTCATCAGACAAGAGAATGTAGTTTTCTCACGGTCTAAGCTTCCTTCAGGGCTTTTACTAAAGGAACAACTTCTGTCAGGAATTTGTAACATACGGGTAGATGATGGTGAATTGCTGCAATGATGATTATCCTTCTAGAACAGGGATATGTAACTCGAGTGCTCAAGGGCCAGTGTCCTGACTCTTTTAGAAATGTCCCTGACAAACACACTTGAATAGAAATATTGGACTCTGAAGAACCTGTATGCTGGTAATGTAATCCAGCCATTTGTTTTAAGTGTGCTGGACTAAGAACACATCTTAAAGTTGGAAAAGATTTGCTTGAAGAAGCAAACTGGGCAGCTCGAAGAAGAGTAGAGGTGGATCACAGGTTTCCCATTGACAGATGAAGGAGACATTGACAATGAAAGCAGTACAATAACAAAATATTCTCTCAGGGGTCCATGGATAATTCCTTTGACTCCATGTTTGGTTTGTTCTCTGACATTCACAGGTATTAATAACATCTTATATAGATGACACAGTTTTCAAATCTTGCTCAATCTGAATTATTACAAATAGATTTCAATAAGCTGTAGAAATATTACAAGGTCAATCAGTGGAAACTGGATCTACCCGAGCTCAACCTTAACCTCAAAAGAAAATAAATACTTTCCAATTCCAGTGTTTAAGTGTGAACTTAAAACTGAAGTATCTCTAAAATCTTCTCAAAGATTTTTTTTATTAATGCAACACAGCTTTCCTTGCATCCATCCATCCGTCCATCCATCCATCCATCCATCCATCCATCCATCCATCCATCCATCCATCCATCAGATTGGTAGACATTGGAAAGAGGCTGCCAATCACAACATACATTAATAGCCCATGCTTATACACATCAAACTGACAATATTTCTAATCCAAGAATTTTGACAGTGAAAAGGGGTCTGAAGCACTAAGAGACATGTATCCCAGGCAACCAGGAGACATTCAAAACCCTACCTGCTTGCTTAAATCACATTTACCCTTCTACATACTTAGATTTGCGAAAGTTTATCTTCTTATCAGTGCTTCTGAATACAGAAGTAAAGAAATAGTGAACTTTGTATTTTACACAGTATGGTGCAGAAGTTTCAGTTGTCTCATTAACATTAATGGATAATAATAAGTTGAGCTCTCTGTTTGACAAAGCAGAGAAAAATTAAGCCAATCTTTATGCAGAAGAAATGGGCTCTCACTAGATCTAATGAAGAATGTCAAAACTCAAATAATGGTCTGACTCAAACTTTTACTAAAGCTGAACAGGCTATGCTTTATCACACATTTAACTTTAATATGGAAACAGGATACTTAAAAAGAATGATGATTGATTTTACAGTTAATCCCGGGTATTATCCTATGGCTCTAATCCATGCATTTTATACTATCTGTATCATCATCCCCTGACCACATCAGATTGTTGCTGTTGTATAGTGGAAGGTTATGACAGCAATACTATTTAAAAAGCCTAGCCAGTTTTTTTTTTGCAATTCCCATTTATTTTGTAGTACTTTTAGAATCCTGTTATGGTTATTGCTCATTATTCTCATGATCAGGTTTTTGCTAAGAATAACACTGTTCCACGTTTTACTATGATGCTCATAGACTCAGAGAGGCTGCTGGAGCTCCCAGTCCATCATGATATCCACTCTGTCTGCAGCTCTTAGTGCAGGTTAAAAGACTGCACAGAATGTACTTTTAGCTTTTTGCATTAAGTTGAAAAAAGATGCAAAAAACGTTGCAAATTCTCTGAAAAAGGAGACAATTAGACTAAAACTATGGTTTAGATAAAGTATTCTAAAAGTAAAAGAAAACTGCTTTAAGCTGAATTAACTCTACATAAACAAGCTGAAGTAAGTTAAAAGCTTTGAATGTGAACATTGACAGACAGAGCAAAACTTTGATTTTTTTTTTTTAGAAATAACACTGTATAATGCTCTATGTTTGTTTCAAAGCAAATGATAAATCCCTTTCAGATGATATTTTGTTAAAACATAAGTTTTTCTTAAATTTATCAAAACCAATGTTAGAGCAGCAAACTGAAACCCAGTCCCTGATTAACATTAGTTGTGTCAGAAGGAACAGGAAAGGCTTATTGAAGAAGCCTGTTGAAGAACGGCAAATTATTGGAAGATTAATCACAATCAATAACCAAATTGCTGCAATCTTTGCTTTTCCAAACATAATGTAGTAGAAAAAGCAGCATGTGGCAGCAATTATTTTAACACAAATCTCTTCACACAGCATTTCTACTCATTTGAAAAAGGAAAGTTGAAGTGGCACAAACCCATTTACATCCCAAACACCCACTCCTAAAAAATCTATACACTTAAACGAAAAAAAGTGCAGCAGCTAAAGCAAAAGTTCACTTTAGCTTCTGTTTAATGTATCAGAAAGAGAACACTTACAAGTAGCTGAGTACGAAGCCTCTCATCCTCACTGCTGATCTGCTCCCTAATGATAGCTTGCTGGAGGCTGTCTAGGGTTAGGGCGCGCTCCGCAGAGAGGATCTTGGATATTTCTTCCCTGACTTTGGACTCAGCCTCAGCCTGAACGTGAGCTGATGCCCGGGCCTTCTCCGCATCATACCTGAGAAGATAAGAATTTTAATATTCTTAAAAGTCTAACTTTGATAGAGTCCATTTCCTGTCTATTCCCAGCTCTAAGGAAAAAAATTGTTTCCTGTTTTTTTTTTTTTTTTTTGAGATACAACCAGATGAGAACATGTTAAGTGGGGTGCAGGTAGTCGAGAAAAGTAAAAAGTAAATGAAGCAGAAGGGGTGTAACATACAGGGTTAACAAGAACTGGTTTCTACAGATGATAAAATGTGAATTTTGGGAACAGTAATTGATGCTCATTGGGAGAACTGACTGAAACCTGAGCATCAGTCTAGATGAGTGTCTACATGGGCACTCCTCCCTTCATAAAGTTAAGAGGACATGGCCATTTTTTTCAAATGTTTGATTATCTGATCATCAGTTCCGTCTTTAGGACAAAGTTCAGCTATAAGCAAAACAAAGAGTCAAGAAAAAAGCCTGGAAAGTCAATAATCATGGAATATATGAGGTATGTCTACGCTGATTAATGAATTTACACAGTTCTGTTACTAAAGCTACAAAAAATGTCTATTTTTTAAATGAAACATCACCTGTTATATATCACCTAAGCCACAATAGATAGATAGAAATATCTTAGAACGTTTTCAAAGATTTTAAAGGCTTTCCACCGCAGATAAGCCCAACCATAAGTACATAATAAACTTAGCCAAATGCACAGAAAAACATTTCCTAATAGGAACTGTGGCCAAGCATGGCTTTGATCTTATGCTGACTACCAATATAGACTACACAGAGGCATGATTTATCACTCCTGAGAACACTGCTGATTTTCAATGTTCCCGAGTCCCGTAGCGTTCTGTTTTCAACACGGTAGGGGTACATCATGGTTTAACATCGAGGTTCACTGAACTCATTAAAGTGAACCGATTTTAGGTAAATATCCGTAGAAGCGGTCTGCATATTTAGCTGCTGGATTTCATACACCTCAGGCCATGCAGGTGATCCATACTGTACACCTCCCAGGTTGCTTCCTGTAATTTTAAAAAGTTGCAATAAAGGGCCGCAGATGAAACAGTTTAGAAGACAAAATTAAGAGTTCTAATCGGATAACAATCAGATGTTTCTTTACTTTCTAATAACTTAAAATTAGGATAAACCCCTCTGATTATCAATAGCAATAATAATTGTGAGGCAGCATTCACAGCAGAATCTCTGCAGATGCAGGACCAGAATTTGAACCCTGTCACTGGGTTTTTCTTAGTTTCCTAGCAACACGGTTCCAACTAGGTGACAGTACGCTTGATTGACTACGGAAGAAAATCCCTGAAACCCCTAAAAGAGATTCTCTGCCAGATATCAAAACAGTCAAGCCGAAGTAGAATAAACATAGAACTGACAGAGCGAGCGAGCAGGTAAGTAAATTATGTCAACGCAATGAAGAGGAGGGATATCTTTATAAACATCTGCCTAGGATAGATGCAGAGAGATGCACAAAAGATACATCTGATGAGACGGAGAGGCTAAGAGAAGCTGGAGATGTTGGTTGTATAAAATGGATCCAAAACAAGGACCTAATTAGAAACAAATTTCTCTTGGGTGAAACATTTTTCTGGTTAAAATGGGGAACAATGACAGTACTTTTAAAATTATCATCTTTTTAAACCCCTGTAGGGATTTAAACTTATGAGTTATAACTCATTTTGAGCCCTCTCAGGTTTTTGCACTCCTCATTATGATAATTCAAATATCCACAAGTGTATACTCTGCAGGCATGAATATTATATAAGTTTCTTACCTCTGAGCTCTGCTATTCCTCACATTACAAGCACACACTAATCTGTCAATGTGATAGGTTTTCATCTTTTATTAGAAAACTCACATTTTGCTCCTCAGTCACGTGTAAACGCGTACAACATATAGACAGTGATGAATGGTGATGGACAGACTGCTAAAAGCAGATCACCTAGCTTTGAAAAGATGACAGGTAGGAGTAATTCGAGTATGTCCGACGTCTTTAATCGTCCCTGCATTGCAACTAGGATTTAGGGGGAGAAAAGAAAACTGAAGGAAAACGAGTGAAAGTAAAGAGAAAGTGCGAGCGGCGGCAACATGACATGTTTGGCCCTGAGGAAGTGAAGCAACGAAGGAGGGAGTCAGAGAGTGGGAGAAGGGGAGAGATGGAGGGAGACAGAGAGACCAGCCATGTCCAGTCTCACAATCCACTGGGTTGCACACGTCAGCACACTCCATCCATCATCAGGCTCTGACTCACAGACACACAGACACATGGGGGGCCTCCTAATGGCCTTTTACATTCACCATTTCCCCCTCACAATCCACGCCTCCCTGCCTGTGTGCTACTAATGCATCTAAGCTACCTTTACTCAAGACGCTTAGACGGCTGCTACAACTAGGACTGAAAGGGAACTGTAAACACGATTTTTCTTGGAAATGTATTTTCATGTTACTTGTGTGGACCAGTAAATGCAGCCAATTCAACCTTTTGATGTCTTCGTTTTTTCGTTTTTTCTTTAACAAATATGCTTTTAGCTAAACTCTTAAGAAGAGAGTACATTAGATAAAAACATTCAAACCAAATAGAGTATATAAAACATACAGGAAGTCTTGCAGCAAAAAAAAAAAAAAAAAATATATATATATATATATATATATATATATATATATATATTACTTTATGTGCTGGAAAAAAAACATCTCTTTGGAAAAGGGTACATTTTATATGACGCTAATCTGCAATGTTGCTCAATTAATGATTAAAGGAAAATATTAGGGCTGCAACTAACGCTTATTTTACAAATCTATTAATCTGTCGAATATTTTTTTCAATGAATTTATCAATGATCGGACAAACAAAGGTGAAACTAAAACTCTTCTATCCACAGTTCTGACTAGACCATATCAACAGACAAAAACTTTTTTTTAATCCTAAATGCAAAATGTTAATATATTTTTCTTACATTTTGATCTAATTACTGATCTAAGTGGGAATAAAACCATAATAATTGGAAGAAACAAGCTGGTTGTTTATAAACAATTAGTTTGAAGACCTACATCTATCCTATATTTCCTATAGATATCCTATATGTTTCAGTCAATCCATCTTTCCATCTAACCTTCTCGTCACTCCCAATGGGAATGAACCAAAAAGAAATTCGACACAAAAGAACGGATTCAAAATTGTATTGCTTTAAAAATATATATATATTGTTCTCTTTATTGATCCCTTTAATTTCTAAATAAATCTTAAGATTTGTTGGCTAGATAAGGAAAGAAGACATTTATTTGTTTGAAGCCCCAAAAGATGACAAAAAAGTCACATTTGACCTCAAGCTACAGTGAACAAGAAAAAAAAGGTCCCAAATAAAGGAAAGCACGAGTGAAAAAAAAAGTCCATTGACTCCCTCACAAGTGCTAACCCAAGCAAAGACCAGTATCACCAGCGAGATGCTATCTGTCTGCTTCACCTCTATTGCTTTCCAGTCATTATTGTCCTGTCTCTGGGATATTGGGCACATTTTTCATCTGACTGTAGAAGATTGGCACTGGGAGAGAAAGGGAGGCGTTGACATGGACAATGGTTGAGTCAGATGGAGAGAGGAAATACACTGTAGCCAAGCTGCAGGATGATAAAGCATCATATCTTTACATGATAAGCGGATGTTATAATGTTTTTTGAGGGAGGGGGGGGGGCTGCCTGGCACTGAGAAGACATCTAGGATAATCTTTGCTAAGTAACTGCTGTTTTAATCGTTTGCTGGGCTGAGTCGTGAAACAGGCAGCATCTGAGAGATTTTAACTTTAGGTGACATTAAAAAAGAAGTTATAGAAATGACGTTCCTCTGCATGATTGCATCTACACAGGGTTCATAGATAGCCAAACATGCAACAGAAAATATGCAACCGAGCCACATTGTTTCACGACTCTCGTCTACAATGTCTGTTAATGTGCAAAGTTGAGGTTGGCTGAATATTTAAAGGAGTAGCCACTCAATCTAAGAGTTCCTTTAGCGCCCTCAAAGCTTATTGTCAGCTAGCGAATAGCAGCTATGAGCATTCATATTAAAGTTTCTGTCCGAGTCTACTATATGTTGTAAAAACTTTCCACTGTTTTAATACTAACAAGGCCCGCAGCATTACATCTGCTCCACCGTGCTGAGGAGGTAAACTTTTACTTTTACACCACATCCTTTCAGACGTTTTCATGGTTAAAAAGCTTACTACTTTATCTACTTTAACTAAAAGTAAAAGTCCCATTTAAAGCCCAAGAGCAAAATGTCAGAGCTACAAAATTAAAGCCTTTCTTTATTTTTTTTTTTAGGAATGTTTCCACTAGTTTACTTTTTTACAGACCAATGATGTCTGACTGTTTCTATAGAGACTAGATGAATGTGCTTCAAATGGTTCAAGTTTGGCATGCTAAACTTTAGGGAGGCTTTAACTCATGTAAGCTCCTCCTGCATCAATATTTTTAGATTACAAAACAACAGCTAAAGCATCATAGCTTACATTTCTAATGGTTAGCCTCTGATACCTCAAAGAAAGAAACAGAAAGTAAACAAAGACGTGACAAATGTATTATTGTGGTGGCTATAATCAAAATATAAAAATCCAGAAACTTTGACATTTGTTCAACAAACTGATTTTCCAAAATATTACTTTAAAAAAAACAGTCTTAAAACATAATAAGAATAAGTGAAAGAGTTTATGACAAATAAAAATTAAATGATGAATATTTGAGATTAAGTGACAAAACAACACCCAACAACACTGTAAATATATTGACCAATCAAGTGCGACAGGCTTAAATATCACGTCCTGTGCAAACATCCTAAAAACGGATATTTAAACAATTTCTATGTGACCAGTTGCCATCTTTGGAAGGTCCAACCTGCAGGACCAGCATTACATCCAGGCTAAACCCAGGTGCCTTGAAACAAATGCATTTAGGCATCCAATGCAATATTGATGTTGAGAATAATGTGCTAGAATGCCGTCTATGAATCTTTAAT